CTATTCCCCTGTCTCGACGCGACGATCTAGTCCTGTCGTCTTGAACGCTCTGCATGTAGTGTTTGCCTGCAGCGGAAGTGCTACTACGAGCCTTCTTTCCGACAAACTAGGCGGCAAGTTGTACCTGTCGCAACCAAAGGGGGTTTTCACCCGCCCCGACATTTCACGCATCTACCAAATGAGAGTAGATAACAAGTTTTGGTAAGATAAATAAGATTAAAATTTACTATACGTCACAAAATATAAGACATAATGAATATAAACATATGAATAAACGATTACTCAATATAGACTTCGTTTAAAACAAAGACCTCTACACATCAATTAAGGTGGGATAGTTACATCGTATTTACACTTGAGAGGTAATGTCCTTGTTATGGTCTTTGTCTGCATCCTTTCTAAGGAGTCGAAGCGACTAACCTACAATAATCGGTCGTTACGTGCAAAAATTCTATAAGTGACTAAAAGAAAACTTATTATTTCTTACATGTATGACTCAACTTCCTTATTCAGTCCCCTAAACCCACTACCCTCTGTGTAGATACCTTAGTGTTAAAGTTATCGAATGGTAAATTTTTAGTCCTATATGGATAAGGACAGACACTACAAAATGTTTAAGTCCATAATTACACATCTTCATTTTGTACTCTTTATCATTGTGGTTATAGGTACATTTTAATACATTTCTGATCTTATTTTGGTGTTAGATAGTCTACCAAATTGTAACGTATTCACAGGATTGTGATGATTTGATGTTTCAATAATAATCATACGACACACATGGAACACAGGGCGGATCACCAATTTCGTGTAATAAACTTAATTAAAAACAACTTATTACAATAAAAACCACTTATTACAATAAACTACTTTTTTTATATTCTCATAAAAGTATCCCCCTTTTATCTTCCAAGTTACTAGTCTTTATATCGTTATATTTTTTAGTTCTTCTATGACATTCCGGCAGTGTTTTTTAGAACTTTTAGAACCTCGACCCGCGCACAGACTTTCGAACCCCTAAAAAACGCTCGTTGACGCTGCGTTTATTGGTTAGTGTACTTAGAGGGCGGGGGCTGTATCGTTTCGTTATCGTAAACCAAAATTTTCTTCCTTTGACCTATATTTTAGGGGTTTGTCCGTTTTGGATGGTCAAGTGGGTGGACAGAGACGGTGGAGGGAGGTACGGACCAAGGAGGACAAACCATAGGCCATTCAATAGATCGCCCTGACCAGTATTTCTTGGCCACTAACCGATCGGCGTATTGGATTAAAGAGGAGGTAAAAGTCTTTATAATCTTTTACTTGACGCCAGACCGAGACGGTCGACTGCGAAGGTTGGGGGTCGGAAGTTTACAACTTGTAACGAGTTCAAACTTAGGACCTTTAGGACCTTTAGGACCTTTAGAAAGCGAAACGAAGGGGGGTGTTACGCCAAGCCGCTTTTCGCTCCGTTCACTGCAGTGGGGTAAGTTTCAGTTACCCGTCCTACGCAACCTTTCGCAGCGCTTCTAAAAAAATTGCGACGACACATTTGCCCGGCATTCACTAGAGGATGTTATTTGTCAAATCACGTGCTACATTGTTCATGATAAGTTATACTCCTACCACGTTTGTCTGTTTGATTAATTGGAAATA